TATCTACTGGACTCAAAAATTAACGATTTTCGAGATTTAAGCGCGAAACAGTGTCACCGAATTAACGAAGGTATGTGTAATGTTTTTCTAATTCTTGTATTAATATTTTTAGTTATAGTGACTATTATAGTAAAATATATTTTAAAAAATATTTTTAATTGTGATATAAGAATAGCGGCCGTTTTCAAGCTCTTTTAAAATTTTTGTTAATTTTTATGACGTTTTGTTAGTTCTTTTTATCACGAAATTAAGTGAGTTGTTATGTTATTTCAGACACCATGGAGGAAAATAAAAATTCGAAGAAGAAAAACAGAAAATATAATGAGATAATGTTAAAATCAGCCATTGAAAGTGTTTTACAGTCAAAATTAACTTTGTACATGGCATCAAAGGAATTTAACGTGCCGTGGAGTACATTAAAGGCCAATGTTGAACGAGTTAAAGAAGAACGCAAGCAGGGAATTACACAGATTAGGATGCTCAAAGTAGGTAGACCATTTTCTTTGTCAGCGAATTTAGAACAAAGCTTACTGTCATACATTATACAAATGCAAGAGCTTGGATTTGGCCTTACTGTAAACCAGATAAGACAAATAGCCTTTTCACTTGCTGAGACAGCTGAATGTAAGCATTACTTCAACAAAAGCAAAAGATGTGCTGGATGGAATTGGTGGGTTAGTTTCAAAGATCGTTACGGTTTAAGTTTAAGAACTCCGGAAAATCTTTCTTCCGGTCGTGCTATTTGCTCAAATCCCACAATATTAGCTGATTTTTATGAAAAATTAGAGGCAACTTTAGTTAATCATAACTTGTTGGATTGTCCAGATAGAATATGGAACTGTGACGAAACGGGACTTATGTACGTCAACAAACCTACTAAAATTGTCACCAAAATAGGAAAAAAATACGTATATAATCGAACATATGCTGAGAAAGGCACAACAACTACAGTGCTAGCTTGCATTAATGCAGCTGGGCATTTCATTCCCCCTTTGGTGATATTTAAAGGGGTAAGAAATATCCCTGGACTATCGAATGGATCTCTGCCAAATAGTTTAACGCGACTGTCGCCAAAGGGCTGGATAAATGCAGATTTATTCTATGAATGGTTGAAATTTTTCGACCGAAACATTCCTCCTACAAGGCCCGTTATGTTGATTATGGATTCACATGCGAGTCATATAGCTCCAAAAATTCTTGATTATGCTAAATCCCACCAGATAATATTATTTACTATGCCCGCTCACACAAGCCACATTTTGCAACCACTGGATGTTGGAGTTTTTCGACCACTTAAAGCGGCATGGAGAGCAGAGTTGCAAAATTATAAAGTAAACAATCCCACCTCAGTACCTACAAGATTTGATTTTCACAAATTTCTGACACCGGTTTATGAACAATGTTTTACGCCTACCAATATACGAGCAGGATTTAGAAAAGCTGGAATATATCCAATAAATAAAAATGCTGTATGTTCAGAAGCTATTGCACCTTCAATATTATCAGATCAACCTGTACCTACATCACAGTTGTCTATGGAAGAAATAATTATCGGTCAAGACTACGATGTCGATATTCCTCAAGCGGAAATAATAAAAACTAATTATGATCCCCTTAGTGAAGGAGCAATCAACGAGAAAGACGCTAGCAAACCTTCAATCCCAAGCATTAGTTCTATTGCCGAGGCACACATACAAAATAGTGCTCCTTCTGAGACTTTACAAATGGAATGCGAGTTAGAACAAGTTCCGACCTCAATGTATAATATAAATACTGTAACAAATAATATAAACATTGACGATATACCGAGACCTATTTTTCAAAATAAAAATAAAATTGAGATACACGATATATTAATATTACCAAAATGGAAACCTAATATAAAAACACGACAAAAGAGAACTGTTCCCAAAGCTCAGTGCTTAACACCGGTCGCCACAACATCATCTACAAACGTATCTTTAAGACATGTCCGCCGAACAACTTTTAAAAAAGAAGATCAAAAAGTGAAAGATCGGCAAACACCACAACCAAACTCAAGAAAACATGTAAAAGAAAACGCCAAACAAACTTCTCAACCATTAAATAGATTAAAATCTTCAATCTCGGATGATGAATGGGTTTGCCGATCTTGCAATGGGCTCTACTCACAAGATGTAAAGTTACAAAATGGAGCCGACTGGATTACATGTTCTTTCTGTACTAATCCTTATCATATCCATTGCCAAAGTCAAATTATAGGTGATAACCAAGAAGTTTTTATGTGTGATAGTTGCAGCATTGATGAATCTAGTGGTGAAGAGTAAAATAACATGAATAATAATAATAAGAGTAATAATATATTAAGAAATTCATTGTATTCTTACATAAACTTTTTATTATAAATAATTAAAAATGTACAAATTTATTTCTTGTTTCTTAGCTTTTAGTTGATTAGTAAAATAATTTTTAATTGGAATAAATTTCGCGAATTTTGTGATAATTAAAAATAAATACTCACCTAATTCTGTTATATCACAATTAGAGTAGTACCATCACCGAATTAAAGTGATTGTCACCGAATTACACAAATCATCAAGCTATGAATAAAGTTCATTTACTTTAGGTTTATTATTTGAAAAATATGATTACTATTGCTCATATGGTAAACAAAAGTGTGGTTGATGCTCTTATATAAAATAAAACATTTTTATTAAGTTTCACCCGATTTTTTTTGCAATATTCTGTTTTATCACAGAATAAGATGAGTACACCCTACACGATGATGCCCCGCCTGCACCCAAATCTACCTTGAAATGAATGGAGCACAATTTGAGCCGCATCTCATAAGACCACGGAGGATTTAGAGCGGTAAGCTGTTTCATACCTATTTTTTTAAAATAACTTAGTACTAGACTAATCTGAATAGGTACATAACTGAATACATGAGAATAATAAACATACCTACACGATGAATAAAAACTCATGACTCCAACCTTGGTTACATTTCATTTAAGTATTTTTTCATTAGCGGGGAATCGAACCAGTTATTTGGGTTATTTAACCTGTAAATTCGGATTAAAGTGGCTAAGTGGAGACAAGCACAGTAGCAAAATAGTAGGTTAAGTAGATAAGTTAGGTATTTAGACAAGTGTTGTAAATTATTAGATATTGTGGTATGGCCCGCTAGTTGCGGGCCGCGCGAATTTGCGTTCGCGCGTACATTGACCTTTCAGTCAGGTGATATAAATTCAGTCATTCCACTGCTGGTTTTATGTTTCAGTATTTTCATGATATATTTTATGAAATTATCGTTTCATTTAGCTGTACTAACATGATGGCGCGTGAATAAAGCTAATAAAACGTTGTAAAAAGATGATTTTTTTTCATCAGGATCGAATTTATTTGTGACCCATGATCAAAGGTGTACTTGGTGTTGTCGCCTGTCTTAGTTTTCGGGAGCGTTCCAAAAATACCCTGTATATAGTGACCAACCAATAGTGAACAACCATAGTTGAACAACCGTGTTCAATAAATAAATAGTTATAATATTTCGCGACTAATTAATCAGTCGAACCGCTGGCCACTCCCTTGCTGTTTTAATTTATAAATCGTGCATTTTTAATTCTGAACCTCAGTCCACAGTTCTCCAGCAGCGTACACAGAGACGGCAGTGAAAGTATCCTCCGGAACCTATAGGTGTAGGACGTGAGCGGCTCGCGGAGTATCTTCGACAACATTTACTCCGGAGAGTTACGCCCGTCCGGCACAACGAGTGTCACAGATTCAAAGTTACGTGCAACCAAAAAATAATCACGGCTGGCCGACACGCCTCCGCCGCGGCCTCCTTCGTTGCCAGCACATGAAAACCGGAATTTTGTAGAGTTGTTGTTTAAAAGGTTTATGCCACAAGACAATAGAAGAATTAATATTGACATCGAAAATCCTTGCGTTATATAAAATAGCCTCCAAGAATTGGTAGACAAAGTTTATCCCAATATAACCGTCATCATTTTCAGTGACTATCAACAAATCGCAAGGTCAAACATTCAACGTTGCGGGCTTTTACCAGAGCGTTGAGTGTTTTTCTCATAAACAGCTATATCTAGTCCTTTCGCGTGACACTTTCAGACCAAATCTGTTCATATTGTGAATATATATTATAAAAGTAAATATATTATAAAGACATACTGTAATAACTGGCAGTAATGATGAAAGTGACATTAACAACTAAATTATCCAAAGTTGTTAAATCACAAGGACAAATTTGGTTTCACGATAATAGACGATAAGATATTTTCTTACTTAGAGCATTTTTCGTAAGAGATTTTTGTGATTTCAGTACGAGCCGTTCGAGGTTTGTTGGTCTATTATATTATTATTTAACTAGAATATTATTATATACTTTTTTGAACGTCGTTCATGGAGGCTGAGGGGCCCCTTGAGCTTGGGGGCCCCGGGGACTGCCCCACCTAGCCCCATGGTAGCTATGCCACTGAGAACAGTGCTAGTTCTCTCGTTTGAGCTAGCGATACAAGGTGAGGCGGTCGGAGAGGAAACCAACACAACATGACAAATGTAAAAACATGGTCAAATTTAAAAAGCTAACAAAAGCCAGACACCGTTTAATTTGTCGCACATACAACCTGACTGTGTCCGTTTTTGTCCGGAAGGCTGGCAACGCTACTTGCAGCACTTAATTAGCACTTATTTCCTTGCTATTAATATTTATCGTATATCTAATGACGTCATTGCGTTGTTAGCGATACGTTTTGCCAGCATTATAAATTTCAACAGTTCGTCGCGGTGAAAATTTTAGAGCATCTAAATTTTAAAATTGGCACGTAATTAGCACCTAAAAAACCCTTAGCCTAATTATGGCTTTTCCTAATGCAAATTCTTGACTTTGCGTAGCTGGCGAGACACAACTCTTTCCCAGGGGTTATTATCATCTATGAATTCCTTAATAATCTTTTTTTAAACGACTTAAAATAAAGAGTTTCTCAGTTTGACCCGTATGTTTGTATGTATGCATGTATGTATGTATGTATGTATGTGTGTATGTATGTATGTATGTATGTTTATCCGCGATTATCTCGCGTTTGGCTGAACCGATTTTGATGCCGTTTTCAGAAAAGTATTTATTACATTCTGGAGAAGGTTTTGGCATACAACAAATGGATACCCTGTGATGTCATCCGCATCGACATTCTCGATCGAGTCGATCCATTATTAAGCGATGTATTAGTTCAACTCGACCGATTTTGTTGATGCGGTTTATTTAGTAATTTGAAGTCGGTTTCTACATTTTGTTATAAGTTATTATTCATTGCGGCCTTGGATGCTTTTTATTTTCGCATGCTATGGATATGGGGGACGCTTGATACTTTGTGATTGTACATTGTTTTGTGACTATTTTATTTAATAGTTTAATAGTAAAGTTTTGATCTCGGCGATCGACATATTTTGTATATTCTCGGGGATTTTGTTGTAAAAATGTATTGCAGATCATGAATTATTCATTCTGTGGAGCCAAGTAACTGGTACTCCTAGTTTGTGTCTGTTCTTACAAAAATCCCTTTTTTCATTAAACTACTTATGTTTTTGTCTCAATATATTTACGATAATGTAATGTATGAAATGTAATACGAGTACATTACAATTTCGTAAATATATAGAGAGGCCAAAGACAACATATTCATTTTTTTATAATTTTATTATAAAAACTATAGTGTCAAACGAACTTACAGTCCCTGATGGTAAGTATCTACTGCAGTCCATTGGCTGATGATGATGTCACTCTATACTCTTGAGATCGGAATACGGCTGTGCAAGCAATGTTATTTGGCGGCAGATATATTTAGGTAAGACAGCGGTTCCTACCCAGAAAATAGGGCATAAAAGGAGTTATACCACCAAATTCTACCACCTAGTGTAATTTTGATTTAGAGTAATGTTAACACATTAATCGTGAGAAAACCTACAAGTCTTAGAAATTAAAAATATGTCCATTGATTTACCTGGTCGGACTATTTGTCCCAGGTAAATATACTCGTCAGCAACTTCGACCTTAGTGTCCCCAACAACTACCGGTATTGGTGTGACATGGACGTTATACATCATGATCTTTGTTTGGTCCAGATTCATCTTAAGACCTATCCGTTGGGAGGAACTATTGAGGTCATGGAGCCTAGTGCTTAAGTTCTCCAACGATTCTCCTATAAGGACTATATCAAAGGTGAGTGATGTACTCGCCGTTCATGTTAATACCGTATCCTTTCCAGTTCAGTAGCTTGAAAACGTCTTCCAATGCAGCGGTGAAGAGTTTCGGGGATATAACGTCACCCTGTCTTACACCTCTCTGCAGTTGGATAGGTTTCGTACTCTGGTTCTGTACTCGGATAGCCATCGTAGTCCTACTGTACAAACACTTCAGTAGTTCGATATATCAACAGTAAATTTGGCAATGCTGAAGGAACCAAAATAAGGGAAGCACTGCCCAAATTTCGACGGAATCAAAGGCTTTCTAATAGTCTACAAACGCCTGACATAGTAGAAAATTGTACTCCTCGGACTTCTGCACAATTTGCCGAAGGGTATGTATGGTCTATGATGTTAAAGCCTTTTCGGAAACCAGCTTGTTCGAGAGCCTAGAACTCTCGAACAAGCTGGTTTCAACTCTCGAAAACAACACGAAGTCGCGTCTCAGAAGGGAAATCGGTCTGTAGTTCTTCAAGAGATCATTGTCGCCAATTGTCGCAAGAAATTGAAGAACATGACCACCGTACTTCTGCTCTACGCCTCCGGTGTAGTGCCACCATGGAGGACAGAATTAAGGAGCTTCTGAAGGACTTCAAGTATCAAGTACCGGTTTTCCACCCGCTTTTAAAACTCCGCTGTAATTCCATCCTCGCCTGGGGCCTTGCCCTTTTTAACGTGCTGGAGAGCCATTCTAATTCTCGCTCAGACTGACTTCCAAATTATCATTAGAATAGTGTCGGATAGGACTTACTTTTGGATCGTTACCCACACTTGCGTGTAGCTCCAATGGTGATGTGTACAGATGACCATAGAACCTTTCTATCTCTCGAATAGTCCTGGGGGCCGTATCTTCGTAACTTTACACATGAGGGTATATTGCCACAGTTGCCACGCTTAGTGAGTAGGTTGGCAACCGCAGTTTTTTATTGTTGTTTTGCTGTTATCAGAAAGATGCAGCTGCCGATCTTCTGCCTCATTTTCCCTATTTCGCCTCTTACGACACCCACGGGAAGATATGGGAGTATTGGGTATTCTTACCCGCCATTACACACATTACCAGCGTAAAATAGTAGCTTAATATTGCTGTGGTTCGTATAGTGAGTGTAGAGAACCGGAGACCCCTTTTACTGGAATCGAGACATTAGATCTTAGTCCTCAGGGGTGATAACGCATCTGCATTTTGTTTCCTAATCGAGGAAAAATGTAGATGTATATGGGCCGCAGCATTCACTTACTATCAGGTAGACTGTGCGCTCGTTTGTCATCTTCATTCTATATTTAAAAAAACATATACAGGGACACCGCGGCGGAACCTTCCTGCCGTAAAGTTTTAGCACATTATTTTTCCGAGTGGGTTTTAGGCACAGAAATGCCTCAGGGGCTCAAAGGCCCAGCGGTGGAACATATGTAGGTTGTTACTCTACTATTTACATTCGTGTTGTAACTTCTACTTAACACTAAACTATCTTATGTATCTACATATATCTAGTACGTTAATTGTATCGGCATTATTTGACTTTGCTAGTTAATAAACGAGGTGAACCGCAGGCAACTGAGGTTGACATCTTGTTTAATGGTTAATATTATAATCTCCATTACAAATACGCCTAGCGCATTATATATATATATATATAGAATTTGATCCAGGTCAGATCAATAGTTTTTGAGTTATTCTTAATAACGTATATTGAAGTCGGCTGTACAAAATATTTAATTTTAAATTATTAAATCTTGTCGCTCTCCATCTGTTCACGAAGTTTCATTACATTCAGTTCAGCCATTGCGAAGATTGAATTGAAATACAAGGAAAACGATAGTTACGAGATTTGTATTTTATTATTAAAGATAAAATTACCTTGTTTTATAAAGAAATATAGCTAATAAGAAAAACCTTTTTCGTTATCTTTTTAAGGGTTCTTTATCTAAAAAGAAATGGAAAAGCAAGGAGTAGAGGTACCAAGTTGAAATTAATATAAAATACTGAAGTTGGTCTCTTATATTTGTAAAAAGTTTAAGGTTCTAAGTCAACGCAATCTTAAAATAGAAAATAGTTTTTATTTCATTTTTTATACTTTAAAAAACGTTACTCCCACACTAGGATTTTCTCCTGTATCGTGGAGGCAGTTTACAAACACAAATTGCACAAGGACAAACATCCAGACCCGGGAAAATTATTTATAGGCCATACAAATACTTGTTCCGTGCGGGATTCGAACCCGCGGCCCCCAGCGCAGCAACTCATTGCTAAGCCACTGCGCCATGCAGCCGTCAGTTAATTTTTAGTTACATCCCATAAAAAATATTTTGTTTGTGATTACATATTTATATTTGCAGTTGGAAAATCGACGTTATATAGACCAAAGTATGTGATAAAATTCTTTGCCACTGCAAATCTAAATTTATTTTTTATTTCGACTTATATTTGTGTTTGACCAGTATTCGTTGTTTACCGTTTTATCGCTAAATCAGTTCAGCCCTTTCCGAAAAATCCGTAAACATGCATAGAAACATACGCGTCAAATATAGATCTCCCAGAATTTTAAACTGTGTTAAAAATTAAATACAACACAACGGGATAAATACATATAATCTCCCTGTTGCTACCGCGTAATTTTCTAAAAAGGAATGTCACTCAGAATATCCGACATAATTGAAAAACTCAATTCCGAAGTTCTGCAAGTATTTCGACCAGAACTGAAAATTTCGACTGGAATTTAGGCGGCAAAACCGCCAAGGGCTATCCTTTTATGGATACCGAAATCAAAGTTTTCGAAGATGAAAATCCGAAAATGCCTACTGACTTCTAGGTACGTTTTGCAAAATAGATTTTAACGTGGAATTTTCAATCTCATGTTCATTGAGGTGACTCTAACGCTTGAAAACAATTATTATAAATTGGCGATGAATAAATGTTGGCCGTGTAGTGGCGGTTAAGAATATCCACTACCCCATATCTTCCCGTGGGTGTCGTAAAAGGCGACAAAGGGAAACAGGCAGGAGATGGGCAGCAGCATCTTCCTGATAACAGCAAAAATACAATAAGAAAACTGCGGTTGCCAACCCGCTCGCCAAGCGTGGCAACTATGGCAAATACCCCCCTATGAAGATAGTAACAAAGAGACGGCCCCCAGTCCCCGGCGGCCCCGCTATTCCTGGCTACTGTGGCGACCATGGTAACGGCGGGGCAGGGGGTGCTAAGAATCTCCGGTGGAGGTTCGGTTGCCACCTAAGACGACTAGACCTGGCAACATACAACGCACGCACCCTGAGGATGACGAGAAGATTGTGCAGCTGGAAGAAGAGATAGACAAGTTACGCTGGCATATTATAGGATTATCCGAAGTCCGAAGAGAGGGGGAGGACACGGTAAATCCTCGAATCCGGAAACTTGTTCTATCACCGGGAGGGCGACCATCTGTCCCAAGGAGGTGTCGGATTTATCGTCCACAAGTCTCTCGTTAACAACGTTGTAAAGGTCGGGAGTGTATCGACGAGGGTTGCGTACCTTATACTCAGAATTACCAAACGGTATTCGCTGAAGGTTATTCAGGTTTACCCACCAACCTCGGCACACCCCGATGAGGAGGTGGGGGAAATGTATGAGGATATCTCTAGAGCCATGCATTCCTCCAAAACCCAATGTACGGTGTTAATGGGAGACTTCAATGCAAAACTAGGCTCAAGAGAGAACGGTGAGCTGAAAGAAGGGAAATTTGGAATAGGGCAACGGAACCCAAGGGGCCAGCAGCTGGTCGACTTCATGGAGAAAGAGGGACTCTTTATGATTTATGATGGGCTCTTTCTTCCAGAAGCG